ACGAAACGAGAGAGCTGATGAGATGGTCAGCCATGATTCTGTCATGGCAATGGCAATAAAGGAGGCAGATAACCTTAAGCAGTAAATTTAGGTATCATATTAGAAAGATCGAAGAACAAGAGTACATAATAACTGTTATAATGAATTACGACGACTGGGCTCAAGGCCGTTATGTCCACGGTTAAATAGAAAAATACGAAAGACCTTCTAAAGCTCAACATATCTGCAGTGAGATATCTTACTGGCGATATCACAGGGCACTGAGGTAGAGTGAAAATATGCTTCGGCTCAATAGTTACCCCAGTACCAATTGCTGGAAAACGAAAGCAAGAGCGTCCACGAACACAATGGAAGGACCTATTACAGAAGGACCTGTCTAAAATGTGATGAATAACTGAAGAAATTCGCTAGAGATGGAGGCCGTTGCATTGCACAGTCAGTCTTTTAAGAAAAAGCACAGAGAAAAATTTTTCACAAGCAAAATAGCAACAGTATCCAGCTGTCAAACACTAATTGTTTCAACTTAATTGAGCGTTGTGTGAACACCAAACTCAGTGACGCCGTTTTCCTTTTTAGCAAACCAAATAATTATGCTAAAATTATAACAATGATATGACAGAATTTGAACATTGATTGTTGTCATTGCGCCCTGAGGATGGTGGTAATGGCGATTTAAGCGCGTGCGCATAGTTGAAAGTTGCTGTCATTGGCTATACTTAAGTTTTTTAGAAAAAGTATACAAATGTAGAATAATGGAAATTATTGTTTGCCTGCTTTGTTCCAGATACTGTCAAAAAACTGGGATTAAAATACAAATAAAAATATATATATATTATGTCGCATAGCAGAACGAAATATGTATTGTTTGTACGGTGGAAAAAATATAAATAGAGACGCGAAATTTTAATATTTTTTAGCTACAGATTTCAACAAAATTACACACAGTTTTCAAACCTTTTAAACAGAATTTGTAGAAAAAATTTTATATGCAGTTTTATAGCCTATTAAATTTTACTGAAATAAAGTGCAAATACCGTTGATTTTTCACAATTTTTTATTGACGTTGTTATGCATTTTTTTCTATACAAAATATGTTCGACAATTCTTATATATGGAGAAAATGAGCAAACTACCCTTACTAAGAAGTACTCCGACGCGATTGGTAGATAAATCAGACATCCCTTTACCGCTTCCTTGCTGGCCGGCTATTTTCCACCTGAAAGACACTGCAGAAGTCCGGAAGGCTGAATATAGTTTTGGTGGAGGGTTTCCGATAGAAAAAACCTCCACCAACCCCATCTCCAATTTTTTATCCATCCGTGAAGAAGATTACCGCTCTCTTCTTCGAGTAATCCTGCCGTACCCAGTCTTCTCTTAAGGGATTATAGGTAGAGAAGGAGCTTCTGGGAGCTATTTCAAGTGTAGCCCACTCTAGTGAGTTCCACCAGACAAGAGCTCCGTCAAACAAGATAGGCATACATTTTGTTTCATAGAGCTAATGAATTACTTTGGGCGAGAGACCTCACCTTTTACCGATAGCTCCCCTACAGCAGTACAAGGCAACCGACGCCTTACCTTTTCCCCAATGTTAGGCTTCCACGACAGCTTCCTATCCAGGATCAAGTCTAAGTACCTGACCCTGTCTGAGAGCCGCAGACGAACACAATTTCCCTATTTATATTTTCGCGACTGTATATGCAGATGTGTATAATCTCATGCGGTTGTCTGTGGAATACGAAATTTTAACGAAATATGTATACCCAGCAAACTAAAGTTCCCGAAATCTTAACGAAATATTTTAGAGTATCGGAATTTTTTCCGAATCCTTTATGAATTTTCAAAGAAAGTCATGTGAAGTTTTTGGCACGAAGGAAAATTCTGAACCAATTTTTTTCATTGTTTTACCGATTTTCTTTCGAAATTTCGTAAAAGAATGAAAGTTTGCAGTAAATTTCATCTCTGCAAATTCATCAAAAAATCGGAAAGACAAACAAGTACTTTCCAAGCAAAAAAAAAATCGGTTCTTGTGTTCCAAAATTATGCGATAACATAATTTTTTTTTAAGTCGGTTAAAAATAATTTCTTTAAGAATTTTTTAAGATTTCTCAACTCGGTAGAATAATCGGACAGCATGGTTGGTAGGGTATGCAAATACATACATATGTTCGTATGTATGTAAGCTCATAAAACAAAAGTTTGTAGCTACTTTGGTGCCGCTGTATATGTCTTGAATTTTTTTGTGCATATGTCATACATATGTATGTATGTACGTATTTGCACACATTTCTTATATTAATTTCAATCGAAATTTTTTATTAGTAAATAACTGCCAAATTTAGGCAGAGTGTTCTGCAATTTATATTGTTTATTCAAAACTTCTCACTAAAGTGCGAGTATAAATAGGGTTTTGGGAACCAGATCTCAACATTCCATCTGCAGCTTTCGCACTTGTAATTACTCCAAAAACAAAGTAACAAAATGTTGAAACTGGTAAGTTTTCTTCTATATTCGTGATCTTTAATTGAACCAAAAATTGTGCTTTTACTTTGTAGTTCCTTCTCGTTATTGCCGCTCTCTTCGCTGCTGCGATGGCTGTTCCCACGCCTGTGGCTGGACCCAACCCTCAGCCCAGCGCACAAGTCCTGTATAACAGTTACCCAGCTGTAGCTGCATATCCATACGCCTACTATGGTTAGAATGAAAGGAATGGCGTTTTTTGATTCTTGAAATAACAATTCCATGTATGGGTGCAACAGTAGTAATTTGAATTAGGGGCGTAGCGTAATAAATATTTTTTATTTCTTTATCTTCGTAATTTTTAATAAATTTTTATTGCATATTTTTTATTGCATATTTTTATGGTAATAAAATGTTTGGCTTTATAGTTTTTATGCATAGCTGAGCTTTAGTGGCATATACAGTAGGTGTGGCTGTCACTGTTACGCAAGTACACACATAGGCCAAGAATTAAGGTCTTTTGTGATACCACTGCTGCTGAACTACAGTATGCCGATAGCCGAAATGAACGGCTCAAGGAAGGATTTCAAGGGAAGACCTCCACATCCCACTCTACCGTTTATTTTCGAACCATCTGTGAACATCATTATACTACCGTGTATAATATAGTGGTTTTCTAGCCATCCCAACCTGCTTGGGATTTTCAAGAATGAAGTTTCTATCCGGAACTAGACTTTGAACCCAACGGTCCGAATAACCCGGTATAAGGCAATATTTTTCCAGAATACAGTAGTGACCTTGCAATCCCGGTTTCCATTGGTCTGTCTCTCTTAACCGAAGTGCAGCAAGAGATGCCATGTGCTGACCCAATAGATCTAGTGACAGAAGATCACAAAATAAATTTAAAGCATCATTTGGTTTTGTCCGGATTGCTCCGCTGTACTTTGCTGAGCAGATTAAGATTAGAAGCCTTAACGAAGGCAGGCCACGATACTATAACTTCATAAAGGAGTATCGGTGTAACCACCGCTCAACTCCGATTTCTTACCAATGGCTATCTCGCACAAATATAATGTCACAGATGCCTTCTGATAACGCTGGATTATGTTCTCCTTCCAGCTAAGTTTTCTATCGAAAATGACGCTTAAAAATCTCGCTTTATTCGCAAAGCTTAAGAGGCGCACATTTAGCTCCGCTAGAGTCAGTAAAAGTGTCTTGTCTCTTCTCGTGAAGAGAAAAAATTCCACTTTCTCTGAATTGACCAGACATAGGCCACAACGTGTGGACCATTTTAATACATCTCGAAATCGCCCAGAGTTGGCGTTAAGCTACCGCTGTATGCGATAGCAACGTTATCCGCTTAAGCGAGAATGGCGCTTCCCCATTCCGTTTCTCTCTCAAATTATTTTTATGTATATTACCGCATAACTTTGGGCCACGTTAACCGATTTCGATATTTCTTTTTTCATCGGAAACGTGGTCCCATACTAAATTTCTTTAGATCCTAAAAGTGGATCGTGAAGAAACTAACGGTAATCTTAAATTTTTATATGAGAATTAAAGTCGGAGTGGAAGTTTGATCTCGAAGCAATACTGAAGTTTTTTATGTCGGTAAGCTTTAATATTTTTATCTACTAGGCTGAATAGTTTTGTCCAAAGACATTCAATCTGTCTCCTCATAATTCAGGCAACCGACAATATCTTTATCCTTTAGAATTCACTTGCCTTAGAATGTGCTTTGAAGCACAGTTTTTTGACAAAGCTACATATACTCGAAGGGGCTAATAGGTGTTTAATAAAGCAGAACCTGGTCAGGGACTTCTTTGATCACCTCTGCCCTTGCTGTAGGAATGATAAGCTCTAGATGGGCATCCACGAGGATCCCCGACTACTCTCAATCTCCGAAACTAATTGAGTGCTTTGAGCAGATATTCCGTCGCTTTTGAAAACCTAATCAGCACTGAAAACCTAATTAGACTTTCCTTCCTTTATTGTAAAGTATGCGTTCTCATGCTTTGTTCCCCAGTGGGCAGAAGGAGTTGAGGACACCTTCGCGTCGACGAATTCGGTTTTAATCTTTTACAACCGTGCAACTGTGTTCCGATAAGTCTCTAGAACTAATTGACGTATAAATATAAAAACTCCAAATTTGGAAGCGATAAACATTACAGTTTGGAGCTCCACAAGCAGATATTCTTTATACGTTTAGAAAATACTTCAACTGATGTAATAGATTTAGAAATCCTTACCTACTACTTCTAAAGGTACTTAAGCAAAATTTCCAAAAAAATTGTAAATGAAATGCCCTAAAAAATCATCACTAAAGCTCTAAAACGAGACGCAAAGATGACTTTGAAAATTTTTTTTTATACAAAAATATTTTGTTATGATATTTGGATCTTTTCGAAAAATTCTGTCTTTTTTGTGTACTGTCTTTGTGTACTTATTTCTAAACAACCACTAATTGCAAATAAGTCAATCTTTCTAAAAGTGATCCCGTCGGCATTTTGTGTCCTCCCTCAACTCAAACTCCTTTCGTTGCAATGCATATGAACAATCCAATTCCGCCGATGAGTGACACCATTCGGGATCTCTGCGCAAAATTACTCAAAGAGCCACAACGCCGCTGTACTGCTGGTAGTCAAATAAAGAAGCGCACCGTACGCAGCGCCATCATCAGCAACGACGCGCCACCGCTCATCATCAAAAGTCTCGTTGACGTGCAGCCTGCGCCGAGAACGGATACTCAAGCGAGCAGCAAACGTATCGAGACATCGCTGGATCAAATCATACAACAGCTACAGCGCAACAAGTGGCCACCGGATGTCGTGGTGCTCATCACGCCCGCCAGCAAACACAACAATCTCTACAAACTGCATGTGATCGATCGGAATAATGAAGGTCATCTCGGCATGACCAGTATTACGCAACAGGAGCTAGCCGAGTTGCGCGCCAGCAATGTGTTCGAAAAGTACGCCACCATTGTGGGCAATAAGTATATCGATCTGAAGACGGTGACACTGAATACAGCGATTATTGCGAACATAATGAAAAATCTGAATGGTGACTGTTGTCAGCCGCTGCGCAAGGAGCTGCCGTTATCGGTGTCATTGCAAAAACCTAATACCAGAGAATTGGTGGCACGCAAAAGCAGCTCTGACGCAGATCCGCAATTGGATTTGCAGCTGGAGCCACGGCATCGTCGTCGTCGTGGTATTACACGCTCAAGAAATAGTTGTCACTACCACACACAAAGCGGCGTACGTCTAATGACGCTTATCGATCGCATAAATGATGCTATAGAACCGGCCGATGAAGATCTGCATAGTTTCTTTGATCTCGCTGACACGTACAAATTTAAGATGTACATACGTCCAGAGTTATGTTGGAAACCGCCGCCACAGGCAGCAGCTTTACAAAATGGAAACGACTCTGATTTCGTGCGCTTCAACATCGAATGCTTCATGCTCTTCGACAATTATGTGGGCACCATTACGATCAACTCTTTGCAATTGCACGAGCAGCTTAAACTGCATCCGGAGATTCTGCCGCGCGTACAGGTCATCGAGGATGTTTGCGAAATAACGGCAATGCCGAAATGGCTTGTCACTACTATGCGCACAATTGCTGAATGGCTGGGACTCGAGATGTTCTACGATGCATTCGGGGAATTTCTTTTTGATTTATATAAACAGATTACTTGATGCGATCTATAAATGGTAATGCAATAGCCGTCTAAAGAGTAGTTCATATAAAAAAAATTATACCTAAAATAAAATTAGTCAAACCCGAAACTCGTCATCGAGGATCTGTAGTATGGAACGAGGAAGAAATATTCGTATGGTTAGTTGCGTCTGCAGACGATGTGGCGCTTCCTTTTTTTGGGTGGGATTGGATATGCTTGCGTTTGCAGTAACTATAATTCCATTTTCCTAGAGATCTATAGAGGGGATGAAGGAGTAAAAAAATGCGATTGTTCAAGGAGAGCTATTGCTTCATAAAAAACTACTTATTCAGACTTTTAATGAAATTTAGTAGCTTAGCAGAAAGAAAATTCCAGTGTTACGAACGTCCAAAAGACATTGAAAGGATTTTCTGTACCACCTTAATTATCCAGTCAAGATGTGCACAATGGGACGTAGATGATAGCTCCTGCGGAGGATAGCAGGAGGAAAACCCCCCCAAACTGAACGTTGGTTTAAACTGTCAAAATACTACAGGAGAGCCAGGACCGTGGATTCTGGAGGGTCTAACCATCACAAAAGTCTCCAGCGTGTATGTGAGGGAGCGCATGCGTGAGGAGGGGGGTTTGGTCGGAGTCGGACTGCCTATATCCTCCTGTGTTCGTAAAGGAGCTTTTCTTTTAATACCTCGGGTGGCTTTGGATGCACTGCTGAACCTATCATCACTTAATGCCTATACACACGGAGACGGGTGGAAGGGTCTCCCTTGTAGTCAGATAGCCTTAAAATTAAGTTATATTAAGTCGATGGTAACGGAGATAGTCCTAACTTCTCTCTCGAGGCATATCTCCCTGGTATTCCCAGTCGAAGTATTTGCAATAAAAAAGGTCATAGATATCGCAGTGGAAATCGGAAGGAGAGCTAGGAGTTTACAAAGTGATAGCCAAGCTGCGCTAAAGATATTGGGCAGCCTTCTTACTGCTTCTAAAGTATTGCGAAAACAGAAGTGTCGGTTGCTGCAACACAGGAGGGTACCTGTTAATGAGAAATCTGACCATTTGGCTAGATAAGGTTCAGACCAAATATTCCTTGGTTCGCAACCAGTTCAAGCACGGCCACCATCGGCATAGAAGCTATCGCCAGAAGCTGGGTACATGTTTCGTGCAGCAAGGACTGGGAGGCAAATATCATTATTCCCTTAATCTGCTTTCATTGAGAAGAGCAGGTTTGCAGACAGCATGCGAGAATGCTGCCTGGTCATTGCTAGTGATACAAACATTTGACTGTGATCGGCATACATATGGCAAAAGCCTCTGTGCCCTTCCGGCGGAACACTTTTTGTGCTTTTACTCCGCCTTTGCAAGGATTAGGATTGAGCTGTTTGGATGCGTTGTATTGATAGCCGAGCACATAAACTATTTTACACTCCATTAAAACAAGAAAACAGTATAATTACTGCATCTCAATACTAGTTGTAACAAAGCTCTATCTACCTAGTCTATTTAGGAGATCCTTGGATGTATTAGAAACCAGCGGTTCCCATGAGTCTTGTTCAAATATCCTTGCTGTAATTGACCTGCTCTACTATAATTGTCCATAAACTTTATTCCTCTAACTTCACACTCTCGTTTGATGTCCATATGCCAAACGGCCCTGTTGGTATCGAGCTATGTACATAGATCTTCGATCTTCATTGGATCTGCATCCATTTTTACCCGAGTTATTGTGCTGCTCTGGGATGAAACGATGTTAGATGTTTAGGTTGGTAAGAAGTATTTTTCGCAATAAACTTCCTTTCATCCTTAAATTAAGGACTCATAAGGACATACAGAAGCGGCCGCGCGGGCTCTCATAAAAACATGAGCTCAACTTCTCCACTCAATGAAAATGTCCTGCCTACTTTTTTCCTAGCGCCCTTGAGCTTGGTAAAATATAACCTTAGTTTTTGCAACACAATTTTTTTTTAAATGCATTAATTTTTATTAACAAAATATTTATAAAAAAAAAAAACAAAAAACTATAAAACCCGCGACACCCTTAATTTAAAACACTGCTTTTACATCCATATTTGAAATTGTTATATCGAGAAATCGTTATACCAAAGCCATAACCGAGTCAAAGTTAACAAGAAGAAGAATCGAAAGTCCGCATTCCCTTCATCCTAACCGTAGTACACGTATGGATATGAGGCAACAGCTGGGTAACCGCCATAAACCCATTGTGGATTGGGCTCGGGATTGGGTCCGGCCACAGGTGTGGGCACAGCCATCGCCACAGCGAAGAGAGCGGCAATAACGAGAAGGAACTGCAAGGTGAACAAAATGCGATTAAAGTAAAGAAAAAGTTTTTTTTTTTACCAAAATCTTTCACAAGTAGACAAAAAGACTTACCAATTTCATCATTTTGTTAGACACTTGATTGAAGCTATTACAGGTGCGAGAACTGCAAATGGAATGCTGAAATTTAGTGCCCAAAGCGCTATTTATATCAATTGGAAGTACATAGAATTTGTTTTGCTTCACACATTGACACATATGTATGTAAGCCTTCCTGTGAGACATTTCGTCATCGTTACCAAATTGGATACTCGTCAATATATAAATTGAACAGCACCTATAGCTAAAAATAATAACAATAACAATTAAACTGACTACAATTATCTGTAGAATACCAAAATTTCATTATAAGCCGTGACATGTTTAACATTCTAAGGCAGAGTCCAGCTAAGCTGTTAAATAATTTCGTTGCCTCACCGCGCGGCTGGCTTATCGTCAATTTCATACTTTTCGAAGCACTTTCGCTTTGTTAACTTGGCTTCTACGAATTTCATATTCTATGTGCGAAGCTTTAAGTGAACGAGCATTTCTACATGCACACAAACACACACACACACAAATAGATCTTCTATGTACATACATTTAAAAATATATGTTGGTAAGAGCCTTACTTGCAAATAGCTGGGCAGATTGCGTTAATTTTTCATTAGTTCTCATTAAGCTTAATTAAAGAAAAATTAGAAAATTTTCCCAGGAAACAAAAAGGAAAACTTCTGATGAACGCAAAGTGAATTTTTTGTATGAAATCTTCATACCACTTGAATTCGTATTTATGATCCAAGTTGACACACGAGTTCCTAACACACAATAGTTCTTTAAAAACAAATATAGTATTTGCAAAAACTAAATTGCCAGCCAGGGCTAGAGTCGAATTATTTTTAAAACACAAAACTTGAAACAACAAAACTGCAAAGCTTTTTACGCCAAACTTCAAATTAGAAACTGACAAAAAAGAAAAGACCGAATTTAGATAAATCGATGATAAGCAAACAAGAAGGCAAGAAGCTCACGAAGTGTTCCACCGTCTCATCCTCTTCAAAACAGGATGGGCAAATGGAGCTTCTCATTTACGCCTATCTCAGTCAGGTGTTTGTGCCACGTGAAGTGACCAGTCAGCAGTCCTGTCTTCTCAGTGAGAGGAAAAAACTAGATAGACCTTCTGAGATTGGAGGCAATATAAGTTTTGCCCACCTGCATTCACTCGATGGCTCCCAGTCATCGCTGAGCGAAGTATCCACCCAGTTTGTGATGGTGGCTTCGATGATCGAAGTGGGGAGTGCTATAACTGGTTTTGGATCGATGAATGCCTAGTCTAAGCCAACTGTGGCCAAAGGGTCAGATGTCTCATTTCCAGGCACTCCCGAGTTGCCCGGCACCCACAGTAAAGCCAGGTCGTTATCTTTACCAACATAATTTAGTCAAGACTTTCATTTGCCGAACTAGTTTGGAAGTACTTACATAGAGGGCTGGCCAATGCCCTAAGTGCAGCTTGGCTGTACCTGTAGACACGTAAACTCCTTCCCCTCCACCTATTTTCCGCCACGTAGTCCATGGCTTTGGGGATTGCAAATACCTCAGCCTGGAAGACCGAAGCATATTCCCCAAAAGAAAAAGTGAAGCTTATCCCCATTAACTTCAAAAAATACTCCAGATCTTGACCACGAGTCAGTTTTGGAGCCATCAGTGAAGATTCGACAATATACGAGTGCGGGATCAGTACTGGAATTAAACCCGCATTCCCCCTCAGATAAATTTTCGTGGACCCCCACTTACAACTCGTGGATCTTTTTCACGCCAACGTAGACAACCGTCGAGTGTCCGTGGACCCCTGGATGTCCACCTGAACAACTTTGGGAATCACTGCTATAGATGCTAGAAGAATCTATGTAGATAACATCAGATTTGCTCCAAATTTCGTACATGTGCATGTGCTGATAAGAAATAATTAAAAAAAAAGAGTCCGAATGAATCTTATACTAGCCGTGTACGTGAAAAGTTCTGCATATAAAAATTCACTTAGATTTAGGGCATCCATTAGACTGTGGTTAATTGACAAGGGAAAGAGAATCTAATAAATAAACTCCAGTCTTTACTAATAACTACTACAAAAGTTACATCAGGAAAAGTTTTTTCCCCCCCTTCAAAACATGGTACTATGGAAAGAACTCTAAAGAAATGAGCTGCCTTTACTGACGGATGATACATGGAATGTGGGGTAGGCGCAGCGATTTTTATCAAGCAAACTTAAACATAATTGGTTTGCGTTAAGTCCTCTCCAGTGCCACTTACAATCAATAGGTCACTCACAATGCCCATACTGGTAAATTGTTTGTGGCGCAGAAACATGTATAATGGCAACATCTGATAAGGCGACCCTTGAAGTATTCAAGAGAGTGACGCTGTGGAAGATTTGCAGTTGGCACTGAAGAGAGACTGGTGTGCTTTATTGAACTCGTGCAAAATTGTTCAGGCGGGAAATTAATTTGAAGCTATCCTTTCGCAAGCTTGTTCCAGGCAGAAACGTTGCGATTAAGTAGACAGTGCGGCACATAAAACAAAATGAGGATTAAACGAAATTTACCATTCCAAAGCTCAATAGTGTTCAAAGACGCTGGCCCGTGGGTGTGCATGCTAAAGGAACGGTATACCATTCAACAGGTTCTGCAATAGCTGCAAGGCCCTGGGCTTAAAGGAGACAGTTTAAATATAGATAGAAGAAGCAGTTTGGCTTTCATTTACGCATTACAGAGTACCTAAAATGCGAAAGAGGGAAAAATTAATGCGAAAAGGGCACTTGTCGCATTGTAGGGTGCCAATATTCCGATTTTTCGTAATTTGTAACCCCCCTGTGTAGAAAAGCGAAAGTATTTAAATACGTTTTACAGTCAACTAATAAAGTAGTTGCGGTTCAAAACCAGATCGGCCCAATACTTAGATGTGCTTAATTTGTATTGATTTATATTTTCACTACACAAATTTATTTGAATGTGTCCCAACATTTCATTGATACGTGCTTGTAATCTTGCCTAAAAATGCTCGTACACACACAAATACATACATATGTATGTACATACTTGCGAATGTATTTCGATAGGCTTAAATTTACACAAACAGTATTTACTACCCTTCGGTTTTAATAGTGGATCGCCAGCAAAATATTGCCTACTAAGCAAAAGTTCCAATGCAATATTTGGCATTTGCCCGCTCCTACTTTTAATCCCTACATGAAATTATTATATGTAAATGTGGTGTGCTTCCAAATGGGGTTAAGCTCGATTTTTGACAGTTATAAATCACACATTTATGTAATAGGCGCAGTGAGAATTATTCTAAAATTGGTTGTATTTTAGAAGCAGGATAAAAATTAGGATACAAATAAAGTACGACATGTGTGCTCTCCTTTTGGCGTAAAATATCACCATTTTAGTATTTGTGCATTCGTCTAAACATTAACATTTGAATATACATATGTGTGTACATACATATCTATATACAAACATCCTACTAATAGCCGTCATCGCACAGTGGTACAAAACTGGCCATACTGTTCATAATTCAATGGAGATTTCATTTTTAAACCAATTTTATAAATTTTTTTGTTTTTGTTTAATGAAAGGTCATAAAATTGTCAATTATCAAGAGACCAGTTGAGCCCGATTTTTGAATATTTATTTGTTTGTTGTAAGTTTTTTAGTGCAAAGTGAAGAAAAAATCGATTCTCCTGTTCCAGTTGATAAATGTTTCATAATAAAACTAGTTGAAATGAATTGTAGGGTTCCCCAAAAACAAAAACAAAATTTCCCAAAAAAAAAAATTTGAAATGTTTTAAAAAATATGTTGACTAAAATAAAATTTTTGTTTGTTTGAGTTTTAGAAAAATTGTGGGTATGCAGTTTCATAGATCATTAAATTTTAATATAATAAAGTACAAGTTGCAAATGGCTAAGAGTTTTCTTTGAGTTTTAATAATATACATACAGTGACTCAAACAAAGGACCACGTGTTGTTTTTCTAAATATTCGTAATATTTATTTTTCGAGATAATTTTTTTTTTTGTTTTTTTTTCTATAAAAATACCGTCAGTGACTCAAACCAATGACCATGTGTTGATTTTCTTTAGAAATTCGTAATGTTTTTCGAGCTAAACTTTTTTGTTATTTTTCTATAAAAACATCGTCCAAGCTTTACCCAAAATCATACATGTATGTAATCCTCAGTTTCAAACTTTATACAAAATTTAGGAAAATTCAACAAACTTTCATCAAAATTTCAACTTTTTAATCTGAATCTTTAGAAAATTTTTATGCAGTTTTATAGCCCACACAATTTTAATCTAATGAAATTCAAATTTGAAACGGCTAAAAAATCGCTTTGATTTTTGAGAATTTTTTATTTTGAAACTACTTTTTCGTTTTTTTTTTTTAATATAACAAGTGCAATTTACAAAAGCGTGCATTGATATTTTGAAATTTTGTTGCTACGGTCTCCAGCGTTTTATTTCATAAGAAATTCGTGCTTATATGGAAAAAAGTGCAAAAATCCGTCACCAAAACAAAAATTCTAAAAAATCAAAGGAATTTTTTAGCCGTTTGAAACTTGCACTTCATTAGACTAAAATTGTATGGGCTATAAAACTGCATACCCAAAAATGTTGTGAAGATTTGAAATAAAAATTTTAAATTTTGATGAAAATTTGTTGAGTTTTCCTAAATTTTGTATAAAGTTTGAAACTGTGGTTAATACGGTTTTGGTTAAAGCTTGGACGATGTTTTTATAGAAAAATAACAAAATAATTTAGCTCGAAAAACATTACGAATATTTAAAGAAAATCAACACGTGTTAATTTGTTTGAGTCAATTTATATAATAACGATATAAACTACACGGGACAAAAAGAACGCTTTTATTTTCCATTTAAGGGCTGTTTCCAGCCCCCAAAAAAACGAAAAATTCATATAAAATGACACACAAGAAATGGAAAAGAAATTCTCTTTTGTCAAAATTTCTTAAATCAGTTTGCAGCCAAGGCGAATTCATATAAGGTACACATATATCAGAACTCCTTATGAGTGAGTGCAAATTTAAGATTGTTGGAATTTTCTTTCCCTCTTCCTCCTTTAGCGAAGAATAGCTGAAATTTGAAATTTGTCTACGGAAAGCGAAAAGAAAATACATGATAGTTTTTGTTTTTTTACTATCGCTACCACCTTATATGAATTCGCCTTGGTTTGCGCTCTCAAGAAAGAAAATGCTGGTATATTTATTTCTTCAAGAAAATTTACAGCAAAAGCATAGGGCTTTTTCAAGCAACAGAAACAATGAAAAATATTTCTTGAGAGCTGGATTCTAAGCTTTAGCTCGATGTGCTCGAAATGCTATCGAAAAAAATTATTAAAAATCAACGCGATCTCTTAGATACTTGGAACTTGCACTTCACTATACTAAAATTTAGTGATCTATAAAACTTTATACCTAAAATTTGTCTAAAAACTAAAAAATTTTTTTTTATATTTTTATGATTTTTTTTTTATAATATTTTAAATTTTTCTTTATTAATTAAAAAATTCGATATTGTAAATCAAAAAAAATCACGAACCGCGCCCAACTGACCTCTTTCTAGTTCTATAACTTTAAAAAAATTAATCAAATTGGCTGAAAATGAAGGCTCCAGTGAATTATAAACAGTAAATTCCAGTTTTGAACCACTGTCAATCGGTTCGCCACCAGTTAGCGATTGGCGCAACGAACGAAATCAACGAGGTATAATCAAACTCGCTAACATTCATCGCTGCTAGCTGACTTTGTTGTTGCTTTCACATACAAATTTTTCGTTAAGCGAGCGGAACTCAAACACAGCGAGCTGAGAAGTGGCGAATCGAAAGGGGGCTAATATTATACATAAATGTGAAAGTCTCTGAGTGAGCATGTGAGTATGTTTGTTGCTAATTCACGAAAAAATGGCTAAACAAATTTCAATGAAATTTGGCATCCTGATAGTTTATGACCGGGATTAACATATACATATAATCTTTCTTGAAGAGTGTTTCCACAATTTTCTCAAGTTAAAATCAATAGACTAGAAGTTAAATAAAATATTACAGCAATGTGCGTGTCGAACGAAAGCGGTTCAAGAACGATTAATTTCGAAAATACATTTCAAGGGGGCTGCCACCTTTTAAAAATTGAAAATCTATCAATTAATACGTGAAGACTACCGTCTGATATTTGCAATTGAAAGTTCCTCGAATTTGCTTCATCTCCTTCTTCCTCTGCTACCAGCGTCGCGATCGGGATTGTATACTTTTAGAGCTTTGAAGCGAATTCGATGCTGCCTGTGCTGAAATATGGAGTGGAGTCCAAACCAGGAGCGATTCCGATGGCGCGGTTGAATAAGTTTGCATTGATTCTGTAACCGAGAGTAGAGCTTAAATCCTTAAGGACCAGCATTCATATGGAAAATTATGTAGGCTTTGAAAAATCACTCTTTCAAATAAGAAGTCAAGCTCTTTTTCATCGGACAAATACTTCAAACTGCTGACTTCAAACGAGCAGCTCCAAAAGTGTTTGGGATGAAATGTCAACGCCAAGTATCACAGTCATACATATGGAAAGTACAATTTTCGCTGCGGTCGCGGCACGAAGGGGCGGCAGTTATGAAGCTGGCACGCTTTTTTTGAACTCGGCTAAAATAGCTTAAGCGGTTATTGTGCCATAAGGAAGTCTGCACAAAGCTTTCGAAGGATTGTGCTTTTGTATTGATTGTGCACTTAAGCTTTCAATTAATACTGAAGCTTTACTAAGAAAAGAAAAAGCAATTGCAATTTTCTGCCAAAATGAGACTTGGAAAATGTTATTATGGTGAACAGCTTTTATCTATGGTCAAGCCAAGTGGCATATATAAATATATCTGCAATAAAACAAAAACTGTTATACAGCTTGCATGTCGATATCCTTGCCATAAAGCAGGCAGCTTTCGGTTTCACCAATGCCAAACGCCGTTCCCGTAAACTCTCACTCTGCACCAGTTCGCTCATGCCCAGCTGCCGCTTACGCACACTTTTGTCCTCACCATAGGCGCTCCTTTAGCAACATGTTGCCAGCAACACAACTTGCCGCCAGACAGACTCACACCCGCTTGTGCTGGCGCTGGCGCCGCATGACATCATTTCGAGACTCGCGTGCGGCACTCTCAGTTCATTGTGTCATGCAACATGCTCGATTCGATGCTGATGATGCCACGCATGCACACACACTTACGCACGCACCGCACAAGTCCATAGCCGAGCGGCACAAAGTGTGTCAACATGTTTAACGAGCTGCATGAACTACATTTTTGGTCAAAATAAAGGATACGACAGGATGCGAATTGACTTCAGTGCAAATTCTGATACAGCCGAGATTTGAACGCGGTGCTTTGAGAAAGCGTGCATGAAATTTGGTAAAATATCTAACGGCAATTGTGGCATATATGTACGTATATTTTCAGCAGCGTATGTGCGGTCGTGTGTGTATTGGTTAGGCCGCTAGTATTGGAATCGGTGTCGCTGATTATCAGATTTTTTTTTTTTGTGTTCGGTTATTCAACTGCGGTGCATTGTTATTGCTGGCATTTGAGCATCGTGCAAACGCCGAGCGTGTGAGCGAACGTCGTACATACATATAAGCACATACAGGACATATCCTTTGCTGCTGCTGCTGCTGTGCTTTGTGTGCGGCAAATATCTCAACTCGTGCGTGTTGGCTATCAACTGCATTAACATCCGCATCCTTGGCTTGGCAGCTGAACAATTCAGTCATCGCTCAACTGTGGCGGCGCAATGACGCGACTTCTCGACTCCTCGCCATGACATTTGGGATCGCAAAGCTCAATCGAATGCTAATACTCGTAGACGCGCAAGTGCAATGGTAAAGGCGTAAAAGTATAATCGGATAACAATATAACGGTGTTTTTTTTTCGTTCTATGAATTGCAAGTGCGGATGCAGTGAATGTGAAGTCCTTGAGTCGGTGGTACACGGCTACCGGTCGTTTATGCGCGCGCGTGTGTGTAAGAGTGTGCCTCCATGGAACATTTTTTGCGCCAGTACTAACGAATTCGTTTGAAACTGGAATTTCATGTGACAAGAATAAGTTGGTGGGACATTTTGGATATGTTGTCACCATCATTGGCGGCATACAGCTGTGGGCGTTGTTGCCTCGAATATGGCCTATAGTCCACCCTGTCGACGGCCGCGGCCGTGCCGTTGGTGAACGAAGTGAGTGTAGTAGTTGTGTAGTGCATAACTTTGTCACGTCAAAGAGCTGTGTGTTTTTGTGCCAACACTATCTTCTTGGCAATTATGTGTTCGGATTGACGAAAGCTAAAGAATGATGTCATGCGGGCATCCATTACCGACAGTGAGAAAAATATGTATTTATACCGAATTTTAATGAATCAAGCACAGTGAGGCTATGACAACAGTGGAATTATGCGGAATATAAAATGGAAAGATCTAGAAGAAGAAAAATAAAGACAAAGAAAAGAGAAAGTGCTTTGGCGATAAACAAATAAAAAAGGTAAAAGGTAATAGGAAAGCGAAAAAAATAAAAATATATAACAAATAAAATAAGATAAATTCAACAAAAATAAAATAAAAAACAACAAATAGTTACAATACAAAAAAAAATCCAAAAATAAAAGAAAAAAATTAAAAAACACACTAAACCCAACAACACTAACATAATAATAGAAAAAGTTAAATTAGAAAAAGTAGAGCTAGTAAACAGAACTTGGCTGAAATTAAAAAAAAATAAATAAATAAAAATGTAAAATAAAGAATTTAAAAAAAAATTTATAAAATAAGATTTTGAAATAAGGGAAATTAAAAGGTTAATCAAAATAAGCAAATAAATAATAGGAAATATTAAAAAACAAATTAATTATAATAAATAACAAATGTAAATTAATAAAATATTTATGGAAAATAAAATAAAAAGTTAAATAATAGATAATATCTATTTTTTAATTTTGCTCATTTAAATTATTATTATACTTACCGTCAATTTACGATTTTAAAGTTTATTTATATATTATTTTAGTTTTTATTTTAATAAATAGCACAAAATAAAAAGTAATAAACAAAAAAAAATTTATTAAAAAAAACACTAAATAAAAAATTCAGCTAAAGAAAAACAGTAAATCAAAATTAAAATATAAAGTGAAGTTAAAAAATGTATAAAACTAAAAGAAATAAAACGAAATCAAATTCAATAAAATTGAACTATATAAAATAAAATACATAATTTCAATAAAATATTTTTGTTGCGGGTAGGTGGTTTTAAATGCCTAAATCTTAGTATACAGCTCTCAAGAAAAACGAAAAATTCATATATGTAAAATGACGGTCAAGAAGTGGAAAATAAATTTTTAAGCAACAGAAATAATGAAAAATATTCCTTCAGATATTTCTTGAGAGCTGTATACTAAGCTTAAGGCACATCGAAGTTGGCGCCACAGTAGCGGTATGTTCGGAGACTAAGAAAGTCCCCTGACCCAGTTGGGAAATATCGCCCGCCATGGGCCCACTTCTCGCATTACTTAAGGGTGGCGTTCCATATCTTTAACTAAGTTTCGATCGTTGTACCGGTTTTTACCCTCCATTCCCGCCCATCCGCACGAGGCAGTCCGCATGACGTACGGAACCAGTATTTTAAATTTTTACGCCGAGTCACGATAGGCAGGTTTGTTAAGTGTCGAGATCTAAAACTGTTCAACTACAGAACTAAATTCATCAGCTGATTTTATGTCTTTATGTCAATAACTCATTTATTGAGAGAGGAGTGTACCGCTTTCTTAATACTGAAAAGCGGATCTGATATATCAAACGTGCTGGAATGAGAGTTAAAATCCTGTCATAAGCAACGGAGTGGGTCGTGCAATTCAAAATTAGTTTTACAAACTTTCAGAAATATGGGACAAAAGTGTCTTGATACCCGGGAGGGAACATTAAAGCTAACTTCACCCAGAAGAAGCGGACTTGAAATTGAGCCTGTTAGTAATTTAACTATAAAAATTGTACTTTAAAAATTGTACCATATTCCGCCTTTTCGCTCTTAAATAGTATACTTGATTGTGCCGAGCTTTCTGTTAATCCATCATCCAAACGTTGGTGTTATATAGTATAGTTATTCATCTGCCTTGTATTTATCTATTCCACTCTCTTTATTTGACATCTATTCGTGCCATCCCTTTGTTTTTCTTACTTGGGCTAGTATACAGTTCTTCCGCGTATGACTAACGGCGGGTCCTGACAACGTGCGGAAAGCAGAAGCGACTCGGTGAGCTGACATATGCTACACAGACAGTAAATACTCAGCTTCGATGGCGTAATAAGCAGATTCCTCATGTATTTATTTAGTTTATTCAGTGTGATATATTTTTACATAGCTTCCTCTCCTCCACACCGTCCCCTGACCTCATGTCTAGGATCGCTTTGAAGCTCGCGTGCGATGAAGTTTTCATCGCCCCAATGATGCTCACGCGTATGCTAGCCGTTGGACTTGGTTAAGCTTGGCCTGCGTGGTCCTCGCTTCAACAGATGATTGCAGTATATAAAGGATTCGTTTGGAAATGGTTTCATACACCTATCTTGCCGATTCGGTTCTGACGCCCAAACAGAAAACAGAGCACCATTGGGAGTTCTCGTCACCATGCATCTACTAGTAGTCTGCTCAGCGAGCGTGGGGCCTAAACCTTGGATTACAAGGTGGTTAGATCCTCTGCGGAAAGTGACCAGTCAACAACTCAGTATGCGGTATGCGGATCAATCTGATCAATGAGAAATGAAATACCTCAATAGGCGAGCTTCTGAGATCGTTAGATTGACCCTTCGATGACGGTGACTGCCCCGTTGCGCACCAAGGAATACCTGGCCTCAGCCCTTTCTAGTCAAATAGTCAGAAGTCTCATTAACATTTACATCCATGAATTGAACTACTTCGGAAGTAGTTAGAGGGTTGGCCAAAGACTTGAGTGCAGCTTGGCTGTCAATACAGACATACAAACTCTCCATCTATTTTCCACTTTTTTTATTTTGCCTTGAGGATTGCAAATACCTCAGTTTATTCCTACAGAGAGGTGTGAAGATTTTCCCCCCACTTAATATTATATCATTACTTTTATTGCAAAGATCTGAACCGAGGGTTGAGTCCGACGTTATTACGCATCAGTGACCTCGAGTTGTTTCTTATGTTAGCTGCAGGTTTCTTTTCGATGTTCTTGCCTCGGGGAGATAGTTTTTTTTTGTTCTTAAGTTCATTATCATTACCCTTACCTTTTCGTTTTACTTTACCTTTACTTTTGCCGTTCTCTTTTTCTGTACTGATCCGTACAAGCTGATGCATATTCCATGTGTCGGAAAAATTCCTGCGGTCAAGCATGTTCAGAATACCTTTAGGAATAGCTCCGGGTGCTTAGAGGCTATAATCTTTAGCACCTCTTCAGGTACATGATCCGAAACTGGGGATTTATTATTTTAACTTGTTTGGAATAGAGATATTCTTCTACAGATTGTTCAATAAAAACATCGGGTGTAGGAAATAGCTTGCAGACTAGATGGCTATTTTTCGTTCAGGCTTAGCTATTATAAATCAGTTTCTTTTATGACTACTTGATATCCAAAGCTCAGGTGTATTTATTAATATCCTTACACAGATCTTCCAATTTTGCTCTTTACTGGCTAAAATGACATCCTTAAGCTTCTTTTTCGCGGCTTTTCTTTTGCGTCGAGCGAAAGCAAGTCTCCTTTAGTTCGGTGATATTTTTTGTCCACCAGCATGTACTGACATTGATAGTAAGGCTACAATGGAAAAGATCACTCAAGCTGCCGACAAATTTTAAAAAATTAAGTTATATAAAATATGTAAAATAAAATAAAATAAAATAAAATAAATTATATTAAATTAAATTAAATTAAATTAAATTAAATTTAATTAAATTGAATTAAATTAAATTAAATTAAATTAAATTACATTAAATTAAATTAAATTAAATTAAATTAAATTAAATTAAATTAAATTAAATTAAAAAAAA